AAATATGACAAACCTAAATGATCGATTTCATTGTCTGAAAGCAGTTAAGACCTTACTTATTAGCTGACATTTCATTAGTAAGCAATCCACAGTACAATAGTGTCTGAAATAACCTCTAAGGACTTATTTTAAAATGTATTTGATAAAACTTGCAATAATAGAACAAACTGTATTAAAGACTTTAGATATTAATATTAAAGAGTTTTTTTTCTCACGCGAATACTTCTATGTATGCATGTACTTTTTAAAAACATCTTAGGCACAAGTTTGATCATTCTTTTTTGGAAAGTATCTACTGGCACATACTATACTGTCTGGCCATTCCCAAAGAAAACAATTCTTTCCACTAATAGATATAAACATTAAACACTGACACAGCATGTCTGACTTGTACATAGGTTGCCTGAGATACTAAAAATAAATAACAAACATGCTTGATCCTCCCACTGACCCTTAAATCTGTTTAGAACTCCCACTTGTTTTGTTTTTTTTATAAAATATCCAGATCCATAGGGTGACAGAAAAAGCCAAAATATGAATAGGCTACCTCTATGTATTTGTACTGTAGAAACAAAGATTTGACCTGTTATCTAACATGACTCCTTAGTTAGGATGTATGGTCATAAGACTCTCTGATGCATAAAACATTACACATGGTGTCACAATACATTCAAAGTGTTTTCAGTAAAAAAAAAAATAAAAAAAAATATATATATATATATATATATATACACACACATATATACACACACATATATATGAATAAAACATTTCATTATTTTGCTTCTGAATTTTTCAAGTACTTGTTAATTTTATTTGGTGTGGGGCTTTCAAGAAAAAAACTTCCATATTATTCACAAAAACAGAAATAACTGGACTGAAGAATACAAGGAAATGATTCCATATCTCACTGGTAGTCAAATAAGTATAAATTAAAGCAACCAGGAGATATCACTTTTCATCTATTGGACTGGCAGACATTAAAGAGGACTAGTAATTCTCAGAGCTGAGGAGAGTGTAGGGAAGTACTATACTATCAGATGTTGATGACCATGATGTAAACTCACAATTTTTTCTGGAGAGCAATTTGTCAACCTTTGTCAAAATTCTATAAATGTGTGTAAACCCACCTACCCAGAAGTTCCATGTCAACAAGTTTAGCTTCACAAAATAATCATTCAAGTATATAAAATATGTAATGATAAGGATGCTCACTCATCTCATGACTAATTATAACAAACACTGACAAGAGCTTAAATGTCCAATCACAGAAAATTAATTAAATTTGAAATATTTATATAACTGAATACTAACTATGTAGCTTCTATAATTGGAATGTGGTTATATGTTTACTGGAAATATATATAGTGTGGTTATATGTTTACTGGAAATATATATATAATGTTAGGTAAAAAAGTAATTCTGAAACCATGGGGAATATGGACCAATTTTTATGTGCATATATATTTGTGTGTATGCATAATAACATACTTATATGTATATACATACATATGCAGAGAACAAAAATCTCAAAAGAGGTATACAAAATGGCATGAGTAATTACTTTTTGGGTTAGGATTATAGGTAATTTAAATTTTTTCCTTTTGCTTACCTGCAATTACTTTTTATTCTATTACCAATGTAGACGTTGAAAAGTTAAAATATTAAAATATGCATTAGACTTTTAAAATACAAAAGTGCATGTTTTGAGCATGGGAGTAATTATCTATAAAATAAATAAGAAATGTAATCCTCAATAAGATATAAAACAATTTCTACTTTAAAAATAAATAGGCATCTGACTTTATAACATTAAAATGTATGTCTACACTGATAAAGAAATACAGTATTAAAAAACTTTGGGACATACCAGCAACTTATTATGTTTTTCTTTCTGGCTATATTATTTGTAAAGTTTCACTACACAGATATTTTCCCAGAGAAATAATATTATCAGTGGAGGTTAAGAATTCAACTAAAGACTTGGCATCTGATACTTCAGATGCAATTAATAATGTCATACAAACAAAAATGCTGTAGATTTAGTAATGGATGTATAAATGTATTGATTACACATATAGAAAATCAATGTACTAAAGATTGTACTGAGATATAGCATTTGAAAGTGCTACTAAGTGACCTATTTGAAACTAGTATACTAAGTTTAATGAATACTACATACTGAATTAAAAACTGTTTTGCCTGCCTTATTAGAATTCAGGTGATTTCTGAAAGAAATTATTGAATAGTTCACCTCTGATTTTGGAAATTTAGGCATGGGAGTGCGGGATGTTCAAACTGATGAAGCCCTACTCCCGAAAGTTCCTGTGGCAGGAAGGGTTCTCCAGGTCACTTCACTGAGCTTTAAGTGATGTATTTGAGTACGGTGGTGATTTAAAAGTCCTCACGAAAGATTCCAAATATGAGAGTTTGGAAAAAGTCACCTCATGGATCCAATCATGCTATAGGCTAATTTTATGGTATGGATATTTGATAAGCATTAGAGAGCCAATCAGATTTATCTGTGAGCCTCTGCTCTCACCAACAGTTCTCCCTCACACCTACTGCCAGTCTGGTTCATTCTGCAGTGTATCGGGAAATGTTGCATGAATCAAAATGTGTGGCTAAGGTTGTCGGAAAAGAGCATAGCATGAGGGCAACAGAGACAAGAAAACAAGACTTAACTCCAAATATAGACTATTTAGAGTAACAGGAGAGTAGAAAGGGACGAGCATAATATTTCAAAACTAGTAATAAAAGTCTTTGTTTTAATTAACAGCTTTCAAGACACACACTGACATTCCCCCTTACAGTAACACATCTGTCTACAAAATCTGATTTCTAAAGCTGATAAATTAGGTGGTGATGATTTGCTTTGAAAAACTTCCCAAAGGTTTCTAATAAGTATGCATTTAACTTACGATTTGAGTTACCAGAATTTGATTTTTCTTTGTCTTAAGAGATTGTCTAATCAAATTCACTTAGTGGAGGGATTTAATTTTTTCTTGTGATAATCTTGACAAGTACTAATTCAGCTTTTATTATTATTATTTTAAATAACACTTCCAGTAATGGGAAGCCCCGTGTCTCAAAAGTACAGCAACTCAAAAACAGACTGTCTAGCAATGGGTCAGATTTTCCTCCTACAGAACTGAAATCTGCTTTCCTGTAACTGACACCTTCCTGCTTCTACTTTTGTCTCATCCAGCCATCCAGGATAAAGCCTAACCCCAACCCACACCACAGTTCCTGAAACATCTGAGGACAGATATCACATTGCTTCTATGGCCTATTTTTACTAGTAAACATCTCCAGGGTAACTGTGTATCACTCAGTGGCAAGTCCATGGTCCCTGGAGTCAGAGCTCAGCAGGTTCTTGGTTGCACACCATGGGAACACCTCTCTGAGTTTCATCATCTGTGAAAGGGAACGTCCTGGCCTTACTTGGGTATTCTGGAGAAGTGAGTTGGCACAGCTGATGCCCACTACAGTGCTTGACTTACTGAAGAAACTCAAGACTGCTAATGACTCTCTTTCTCTATCCACCTTATTCCAGTTTGCCCCTAAAATGAAGTGCTTAGAAGTTCATGAGGCACACCACATACAGTGAGACTGGTTCTGAGTTCTGGAGGCTGTACTCTTAAAAATGTCTCCTTAAGGCTTCAAGAGTTCAAGTTCCCACAGAATTTTAGTCAGCCAAAAGCCTGCAAATTTTATTCATATAGAAATAAAGCAGGTCTCCCTTTCCTATCCTGTATCATGGTTCCTTTCTGATTCTTAATGAAACACCACACATTTCGTCACGTTAAATTCCATCTTGTTAGTTTTGGCCCATCCTTCCAGTCCACCAAAGCCTTTTCGGAAGCTCAATTATTTTATCTAACTTATTAGTTTTCCCTTCCAGCTGCGTTTACTCTACACATTTCTGTCATGCAGCATTTGGATAAGCCCCCACTTTTTCTGAGCTGTGTATTTCCCAGAACAGACGACACAAGACATAAAGCGGCACACCGGCCGAGCGCCGTCTTCCCTCCCTTCCCATTCTGACCCTCCTTTACTGAACAGCCCGTCAGAGAAAGGTCCTCACACCACTGGCAGCGCAACAGCTGCTTCAGGAGACTTGTGGGCTGGTCCAAAGTAGTGTGGAAGGGCAGAAGAGTCCCATTTAGTAAAAGGAAAAAAGTATTAGGTATACTATGGCTTTGTCACTGAAAACCCTACTTCTAGTCATAACATGCTGTCTAATGTCACATTTAAATATATACCATAGAAAGGAGACACTGAGAGGGCCGGCCGAGTGGCGCATTGGTTAAGAGCTGGCTTGGGACGCCAGAGGGCCCCGGTTTGGATCTCACATATGAGGGCCAGTGACACTGCTCTCTGCAGCTAAGATGCTGAACAATAGCTCAACCTGGAGCTGGGCTGCCGTGAGTCGCCAGCGACGGCGTAGGCTGCAGCCCCTGTGGCAGCGGGATGCCATGGGCTACTGTGTGTAGCCAGCAGCCAGCGTGAGCGGCCAGCAGCCGCCGTGAGCGGCCGTCCAGAAGCCGGCGACTGATCTGCCTCACCCGGGAAAAGCGCAATGATGGTGCCAACTTGGGCCAGTGAAGCAACGTCCTCCACAACTAGACTGAAGAACAAAAGGACAGCAACTTGTCTGTTCCCCTTCCCCCAATTCCTCAGCGCTGTTCCCATCCCCCAATTCTCCAATAAAAATATTTAAAAACAAAAAGAAAAAAAGAAAGGAGACACTGAGAAAGGATGAGAAAAAGCAATGAAATATGTGGGGTTGGGGGAATAACCTATAATTTTTCTTTTTTTTCCCCATTTACCTGTAGTTTTTCACATTCTGTTTCCTTTTACATACAATCAGCCCTGGGTAGTTGTCTATACAAACAGAATAGACATGCATGCCTAGATATGTATATTTAAGAATATGTATATGTGTATACATATACAACAATATATATTGCTAAAATGGATGAATATTTCATACTGACCTTAGGGGGTTTAAACGGATAGTCTGGTGAAAAGGTAATGTCAAGAAAGAACACCCCTCCTTCATAGACAGATCCTGGGGGTCCCAATATAGTTGACCTCCATTCATAAATGTTGTCTCCTTTGGGTCCAGCACTGAAATAAGACATACAAATGAAATATGCTTAGAGATTATATAAAGCCTGGAATTTTAAAAATCTATTTAATGTAACAATAAATTCAGCAATTTCATAAAAACGCAACAAAGTTAATAGATTAATTCTATACGGTGATTCATTTGTCAACATCATCAGTCTTCTATAAATCACATATGTTGGTATTACTTAATGTAAAACAAAGAAGATTCCACTTTGTCATTCACAACCCTAAATCTATGCACAGGAGATTCAAAGGACCATAGACCAGAGGCAGGAGCACAATGTTTAATAAAGATGAAATTATTTGTGAGGTCCTGAAAAGGATAATATGGTCATAGGGTCAAAGAGACACATTTTTAAATCCAAAAGGGCAGCTACAGAAAAAAACAGTCTACTATCCCTTTGTTAACCACAGAGAGCACAAACACTGCTCATGGAGATCAGGAACCACTCATCACCCATAAAGCCCAGCTAAGTATCATGTCCCGTCTTCTTCTCTTCTCTCTTTCCACCCCTGAGCTCTCTTCTCAGCCGACCCCCTCCACACCCCCACATATCACTGACTATTGTGGTCTGTAGAAGATAATATGTATAATTTTGTCTCATAACTGTGTTTTGTAACTGTTTTCTGTCCCTCCCTAGAGTAGAAATTCCTTGAATATATTTGGTCTTGTCCTTAGTGCCTAGTCAGTAAATGTTTGTTGGGTGATGATGGATTAATAGCTACAAGAGAAGCCACATGGCGATAGCAGCAAACCTATGTCCCTGAGTCTTACAGAAACTCAGCGAGAAAAATGAGGCCCACAGGAGTCACGTGGATTGCATTAATTCTCTCAAGTGAACATAAGGGCAAAAATAATGTAGCTTTTCAGTGTTCTATTTGCTACATCAAGCTAATACCTACATCTAACAGCCAGAAATTCTCACACCTGTTAAGGTGCTTGGGAAGGATTTTATTGTCAACAGAGATTTAGCTTCTAGTCTGTCTTATTTTGAAATTAGTTTATATCTACAAAAATGCATTGTTGAGCAGTATATCAAAAAAGCATGCATCTTAGCCAAGTTGGGATTATTTTGGGAATGCAAGGATAGTTTAATAATAGAAATTTATTAATGCAATTTAGCTCACTAACAGAGTAAAGGAGAAAAACAATGGTAATTTCAATAGATGCAGAAAAAGGCTTTAGTGATAGCCACTCATGATAAAAACTCTTAGCAAAATTGGAATAGAAGGAAAATCTTTAAGCTGATAAAGGGTATCTATCAAAAACCTCACAACAACTAACATTCAATGGTAAAATATTAAAAGCACACCCTTTAAAAATTGAGGAATAATACCAAGATGCTCACTATATCCACTTTGAATCATTATTGTACTAGAGAGACTATTCATCAAGTGATGATTGACATAAGGAAAAAATGAAATATGGACTGGGATGAAAGAAATAAAACAGTTAACATTTGCAGTATGTATGTACACAGAAAATTCCCAAACTCTCCAGGCAATTTATTGAACTTAATAAAAATGTATAGCAAAGTGGCTGGATATAAGATCAATATGCAAAAATCAACTGCATTTCAATACACCAACAAAATTAGAAAAGTATTTTAAAATGCTTTTTATAATAGTATTAAAACATAAGGAAAATTTTATAAAATATAAGATTATTATGGAGCAAATTATAAAACTTGAAATACAACACAAGAGTATTAAGTAGAGAAAGAGATACCAACTTTATGGGTAGGGAGACCTAGTATACTACAAGTATCAATTTCCTCCAAATTGATCCAGTACAATTCTAGTCAAAAGTCCAACAGCTTTTTAAAAAATGAAACTTGACAAGCTGATTCTAAAAGGATCTCTTCGAACTTTTCCACATACATATGGAAATCTGGTATATGTCAGAACTGACTTTTGTAGTTGGAAAATACAGAAATTGATTTTCTACCTCAATAAATATACAAACCTTTGTTGCAAATGGATTACACATTTAAACGCATAAGTCAAAAGTTTTATTTAGAATTTGACTAGAGAATGAGATAAGGCAAGCCACAAACTGAGATCAGAGATTTGGTCATATAAAATTGACCCACTTCTAGTGTTTGGAATACACAAATTCCTATGAATCAATAAGAAAAAGACTAAAAATCCATTAGAAAAGACATAGACATTTCCAAAAAGAAACACGAATGGCCAATAATCACATAAAAATGCTCAATCTCATTAAAATCAGGGAAATAAAAGTTAAAATTACAATTCGATATTCTTTCACAAAATACACAGGCAAAACTTAATGCCTGATGAAACCAAGTATTGAGGAGGACCGGGAGAAACACACACTCCTACACACTGCTGATGAGTATGTTCAATTGCTTTGGACAAGCATGTGGACCCACCTACTTAAGTGGAACACATATACTCCTATATTACACCACAGCACCTGCATCTCTAGGTGCACAGCCCAGTGAAATTTTTATACATGTACCGGAATGTTCATGTAGGCACTACTTGTAATAGCAACACTGGAAATATGAATGTCCACTGACAGGAAAACTGACAAATTCACCCAAAGGAACACTACTACCCAGTGGTGAAACGTACAGATTAACATAGATGAATCTTAAAAACATCACATTGAATAAAAAATGAAGTCTAAAAGGAATTATGATATGATACTATTTCTACAAAGCTTAAAAACAAGCAAACAAGAAAATATATTGTTGAGGGACTCACACAGATACGGTAAGGCAAAAAAATGAATGAAAACAAAGTTGAAAAGCGTAGTTTTCTAAGTGGAATCAGAGGGTGGAGGAGCAGCACACAGGAGCGTCAAAGGTTCTGGAAATGTTCCACTGCTCAGCACGGATGATGAACTCAGGAGTTTCCTGTTTTATGACTAGTTTTCATAACCTACTTGTATGTTAGATATGTTCTTATATATGTATCACATTTTCATACTAAGAAAAAATATGCTGAAAAAGTCTATGAAAATGCTATGTGAGAACAGCATATGTATAGTGTGATCTTACTGTATAAACTAGAAACATAAAACAATATTTTATATTGTATATAGATACATTATCTGTGTCAAAATCTTCTAAGGTATGAAAGGTAAAGATACTTAGCGTCATGATAATGGTTGTGTAAGGAACAATGTAGAGTAGGGTGATGGGAGGAAACTGATCTGGAGATGGGGAATGAAGGAGAGTTCAGTTTTATCTCCAGTGTTTGATTTCTCTTATTTAAAAAGAGATGAAGAAAAACAATAAAATCACAGTCAAGTTTATCGTCAAGTGTTAAAAAATACTGTGAAGCAGTGGTGCAGGGGACCAGAGTACAGCATTCCCACCCCATCTTCCCCTTTACCTACCTCCCTTGGGGCTGACTGTGAGATGTAGACAGAGTATGTTCAGGCCAAATGACAATTATGCTTTGGCAACAGCAGTCCCTTGTTGCCAGACAGGCTCACTCATTCAGATGAATAATACATGTGGTTACGCCCTTAGCTATAATTAGACCCAACACCAATAGATAAGTTTATCAGAAGGAAGAGCTTAAAAGTAGAGTAAATTATAGGTTTGTAGTTACAACATTACTTCAAAGTAGATGAAGAAATTTAGATGAAAAAATACACACAGGCGAGTACACAGCTATGAAACTATGTGCACAGACACATTTCCCAAATACAAAAATACGTGATTACACATACAGTGACTCAGATATACAGTGACATATACACATATATATATATTATATATATATATATATATATATAATATATATATATATTTAGTTAGTTAGTTACATAATTTAGGCTAAATAAGGAGTCACCGAATAGTGCCACCAAGAAAGGGACTCAGGGAAGGTGGGAGATACCTCATGATGTCAGTAATGTCTGTAGATAACTTACATTCATTCAATCTGGGCCTATTCCAAGTTTTATCTGGCTCTTGGTCAGAACTCCAAATTTTATTGGTTCTTTGAAGTCAGTCAGCTGTCTATCCAGTTATTAACAGTGGATTACTAACACACCTAACATTATTACTGAGTTGGTGTATGCTGCCAAACTGTATCTTTTAAAGAAAGATGAGATATAACACTTGAGCTGAGCTTTCTGACCTCCTCTATTGTCTTAGAAATGGCACGTGTGCACCACTTGCAATCCCAAAGCTTATAGCAATGGTTCTTGAACTAGACTGCCCTCTGTTCCACTCCCATTTTGAGGTGTCCCAGCTGCAAAACCTGGTGTAAAAGTCCTGAACTGTGTCATACAATATGGTAGCCATGTAGCTACTGAACACTTGAATTGTGGCTAGTTCAAATTGAGATGTGCTGTAAACGCAAAAATACATAACACAGTTTATTGACAATGCCAAAGAAAGCATAGTTTTTTAGTTAATTATATGTTGAAATGATAATATTTGGGACATAACGGGCTAAATATATTAAAGTTAACTTCATCTATTTCTTTTAACTTTTTTTAATGTGACTGCTAGAAAATGTAAAGTTATACATGTGGCTCCCACTGTATTTCTATTCGACAGTACTGTTCGAGAGCAGTGCTGTCTGACAGAACTTTCTGTGGCAATGGAAATGTTCTTATCTTATCCTTATCCAATATGGTAATCAGCAGGTACAGAGAGCCGTTAGGCACTTGCAATGAGGCAAGTGAGAATAAATCAATTTCTTTTGATTTTAATGAATTTAAACCTAAATAGCTCCATGTGGCTAGTGGTCATATATATTGGACAGTACAGATCTAGGTGCTCCAGTGGCCCATGTTAACCAAATGGTTTTTTATTATGTCAGAATTATTTGGATCCACATAAAACAGAAGAATGTGCTTTTTATACTTTGGACCAAAGGAGCGGGAAGGATGCTGCAGACTGTTTTATACTTTTTAATGACTGCTTCTTCCCTAAGTTGATGAACTAAAAGTTGGTGTCAGAGGACACCTGCGGAGCACAGCGGTGGTGAAGAACAGGAACAGAGTCTGA